AATTAAATGTATTTAAATTCCTATTGATGGTTCTAGACATAAATGCATTTTTTTCTATAACATTTTCCTGTCTTTCTATATGTATAACCATTAAAATATTCTTCTAAAATTATGTGATGAATAAGGGGTTTTACTTATATTTTTGCATATTAATTTTGGAGTTATTCCATGAAACTGAGTATACTTTCTGTCAAAAAATTATGAAATTAATGGAACATGAATTCCCTCATAATCGGCAGAGTAGCTATTCCATAACAACTATAATCCTCACTTAAAATCTTCTGTATGGGTCCCTATCCGTAATCTCTCATATATTTAGGGTATTAAGTAATTCCCACAAGCTTATTCTTGTGAACTGCAGCTACACAGAATAAGAAAATAATAATAGACGTGACCTAATTCAACCTTCCTTACTATTAACATTAAATGACAAGACCAAAGACATATGGCTATTTTGTAGCTGAACCAAAACTGATCAGCCTTGATCATGTAAGGTATGCTGGAATCTCAGTAGCTGAGGAATAAAAGCTGAGACTGAACAGGAATAGTGATTGGGGATTAAAAAAAACAAAGTCAATTATACAACATGCAGTCACAGGATGTGTCATAAACTAAGATTTGGAGGCAGAATGTTTCACCAACTAAGGAGGTAAAATTTCGTGGCTATAACACAGCTGCAAGAGTATACTCTCCAAATCAAGTGGTTGGAGGTGTCATGGTTCTGAAGGTCATGAATGACTGACGGGATTCCAGCCAATGCCTGGGACTATGAGGAAAGCATCCAATCTTACCCAGGCTGAAAAGAACAAAACATAGAATATTCAGAGCACCACCAGACTGGCTTAGTGAGGATCTCAGTAAGATTTTCTAGTACTTTAGGGAACTAGATCACAAAAGTAAAGTCAATATGGGAAAGAAAGGAGAAGAAAGTTCACCCAGGACCTCACCTACATAGCAATAAATCACATTTCAGATGCTGCCTACTGGTGGAGTTAAAATTTTACATGTGTTATGTGCCTTGATAAAGACAGACTTTGAAAGTGTGCTGTTCTGAGGCTGTGTATGAGTAGAGGGTGTCAACGATGGCAGCAACACTGAGCTGGAAAGGGAAGTGTCTGACAGCAGGCCTCCACACAACTACTTCACTCCTAGCCCTGAAACTTAGCACCACTGTTGTTTAAAGGATGAATTTGCTGAAGGTGATATTACAGATAATTTTAGCAGTTCTTTATAAAGTCAGCTATAGTGACAATAGATAAGAAAATCAAGAATCAAGATCAGAAATGTAAGCCTGGACTAGACACAACCCCAGCAATGCAGACATAAGATCCTTGACCAAGAAATAGGCTATTTTGACTTCTATAAAATTTATTCATTTATATAAAATTATTTTCTTAAAAAGCTACTTGTCTTTAAAAAATGTATGATAAAGTTCCATTGTAATACAGTAGAGTTTTTACCACAAATATTTCAGTACATGCATATTTTTACTTAATGATAAATCTTGATTTCAAAAACTAATATCACCGTGAGATCTACTTTGAATTCTTGGTATTTTCAGATTATTTAGATGAAATTCTACTTTTGTGTGGGGAGTACAAAGAAACAGGTAAAGAAACTAAGTTTAAAGTAGGATAGGACAAAAAGTACCCCTGGGTTTATTTTTTTTAAAAAGAGGTACTATTGTGACTTACAAAACAAGAATCACAGAGGATAAGTTCAGTATGGCAGAAAGAAAAGATATCAAACTGGAAAATAGAAAGGAGAGGATAAAGTTCTAAAAATCATCTCCAATTTGATTTACCCAACTGCAGTTAATAGAAATCATTACAAAATTGATGAATTGTGTTATCATTTCTCATTCCAGGACATTTTATTGCAGTGGAATTATACTTTCACAGTGATCATGTCATCTTTTCCTAACATCACGTCGTCTTCTCTGATCTTTTTTCTGATGGGAGTTCCAGGACTAGACGTTGCTCATGCCTGGATCTCCATCCCCTTCTGCTGTCTCTACATAACTGCTCTCTCTGGGAATGGTGTAATCCTGTTTGTCATCATCACGGAGTCAAGTCTCCATGAACCTATGTACTATTTCCTCTCTATGCTCTCAACCACTGACATGGGATTGTGTATTTCCACACTAGTCACTACACTGGGTATATTCTGGTTCAATGCAAGACAGATCAGTTTCCATGCCTGTGTTGCCCAGATGTTCTTTATCCAACTCTTTACTGTCATGGAGTCCTCAGTGCTCTTGGTGATGGCCTTTGACTGCTTCATTGCCATTTGCAACCCACTGAGATATGCTACCATCTTGACTGACTCCAGAATTCTCAAAGTGTGGTTTGCCATCCTTGTCAGGGGGACTGTGATCCTAATGCCTCTGGTCCTGCTTCTTAAACGTCTGACCTTCTGCCAGAGCCATGTGCTTCATCATTCCTACTGTTTCCATCCTGATGTGATCCAGCTTTCATGTTCTGACAATAAGATCAACAGTGTTTTAGGACTTACTGCCCTCGGAGTTACCGCAGGAGTGGACTCTGTCTTTATTCTTCTCTCTTATATAATGATTATTAAGACCATCCTAAGCATTGCTTCCCCAGAGGAACTGCTTAAGGCCTTTAGCACTTGCATCTCCCACATGAGTGCATTTCCACACTAGTCACTACACTGGGTATATTCTGGTTCAATGCAAGACAGATCAGTTTCCATGCCTGTGTTGCCCAGATGTTCTTTATCCAACTCTTTACTGTCATGGAGTCCTCAGTGCTCTTGGTGATGGCCTTTGACTGCTTCATTGCCATTTGCAACCCACTGAGATATGCTACCATCTTGACTGACTCCAGAATTCTCAAAGTGTGGTTTGCCATCCTTGTCAGGGGGACTGTGATCCTAATGCCTCTGGTCCTGCTTCTTAAACGTCTGACATTCTGCCAGAGCCATGTGCTTCATCATTCCTACTGTTTCCATCCTGATGTGATCCAGCTTTCATGTTCTGACAATAAGATCAACAGTGTTTTAGGACTTACTGCCCTCATAGTTACCGCAGGAGTGGACTCCATCTTTATTCTTCTCTCTTATATAATGATTATTAAGACCATTCTATGCATTGCTTCCCCAGAGGAACGGCTTAAGGCCTTTAGCACTTGCATCTCCCACATTAGTGTTGTTTCCATCTTCTACATACCTCTCATTAGCTTGTGCTTTGTCCATAGGTTTGGGAAAAGAGCTCCTCCTTACGTACATACTCTTATGGCCAATGTGTATTTGCTTATTCCACCAGTAATGAATCCCATTATTTACCGTGTGAAAACAAAGCAGATCCGTAGGGCCATTAAAAAAAGTCATCTTACCCAAGGGGACTTTAATATCTCTGCAATAAAATCTACTCTTAATTATCACTTTCAAGGCCTACTGATTAATCAGTTACAATCTCTTATCACTGATCTGAAATCAAAAAAGTAGAAGGTTGGGTGGGGGATGCAGTTTGGTGGAAATTTGTTTTCAATAGAATATTATTAATCTAGTCTTGAGTAATGAGCAACAAAATACAATAATATTATGGAAAAGTTAGTAAAGTTTTGGAAGCATGAATGATAATCACTAAAATGAACACTTTGTTCATGAGACTAAGCCTCCAAAATTATACTTAAAATAATAAGTTATTACATTCTGTACTATTTGGTTTTCTTAAAGTATAGATAGTAAACAGTTATTAAGTGCTGTTTAACTTTAGATTAAATTAAACCCTATTATCTTTTGTTCTTACACGTAACTGAATCACCATTGATTCGTTCTTTTATTTACTCAGTGCTACTGTTGTTGGACACTGCACACCATGACAGGGTGCCAGAAACAGACAAATATTGTCATAACTAGTGAAATATGTAGGTAAGAAAGAAAGCAGTCAAAATCTGATTACTACGTAACATGTCACCATAGAGATATGGACAAAAGGAGTAATAAGATGATATGAGAAGAATGTTTAATCCAGCCTGGGAAGATCAAGCTGAGCTATAAGATCAAAAATTGGAGAGATCCACTTTCAGAATGCAAGCATGAGGACTCCTCAAGGAAACAACCATAAACAGAGTCACACACATATACACAGCCATGTGTGCTGTATAATATTTCCTGATGAACCCCATATGTGACAGTGGTCAGAGCAACAGGCTATACCATACAGCCTAGATGTGTAGTAGGTAGTAAGCTATATCACCTAGGTTTGTGTAAGAACTCTATGACATTCACACAATGAAATCACCTAACAACGCATTTCTCAGAACATATCCCTGTTGTTAAATGATGTGTGACTGCATATACAACCACAAATAGTGATACATATATATGCAATATGATACATAATATATATATCATTGTGTGTGTGTATGGGTGTGTGTGTGTATGTGTGTGTGTATGACATAGACATAAACACTTAAATTCTCTGAAAATTGCCCTAAGGGCATACATGTAGTCAGTGAAACTATATATATATTTTCAAGAAAATCTATTAAATCACTGTAAGAACAGTGCAAGTCTGTGGCACTTGAACTGCAGCCAGCTTCTGCTCTCCCTTTCCCTATAGCTGAGCATACTGATAGCTCCACTCCAGGTATATGTAGTAAAGAACACAGGGCTTCCTCTCCTTCCCCCATACCCCCTCAGTTCTCAGTCTGGACCACCAGCTGGACCACAGTTACCCCCACACCAGATTCATATTGAAAAAGCTAACCTCTAGGTAAGTGCAATCAAGAGGTCAGTGGACCCTGTCATCCATCCAACCCTTATTCACAGGGCAGAGGCTTTACCCCAGGCATGGCAATCAGAGAATACTGAAGTCACATCACCCTTTCCCCAGCTCAATCTTAAGGTGGATGATCCATATCAACAAACACAAGTTGAAAAGCTTACTTGCTATTCTGCCTACTGCCCTGCTTACATAGCAGAAGTTTCACTCCAAGAGCAGTGGGCCACAATGGAATTAAATTATAAATTAATAACAGAAATTCTGAACTTTATAAATATATGAAAATTCAGTACTACACTCCTAATCAATGGTTCAAAAAGTCACAAAGGAAATTAGACAATGATTTAATACAAAAGAAAATTCAAACAACACATACCAAAACTTGTGGGAAAAGCTAAAGACTGCTTTGAGGAAAATTTGTAGCTATAAATGCTTATAGTTAAAAATTAGAAATATTTCAAATCAATAACCTAAACTTCCACTTTAAGACAATGATGAAGAAAAGAGAGAGAGCAAACCAAATCTAAATCAAGAAGAAGGAAGAAGGGCCGGCCCGGTGGCGCACTGGAGAGTGCACCGCTTGGGAGCGTGGCGGCGCTCCCGCTGAGGGTTCGGATCCCATGTGGAGACCAGTTCCAGCTCACTGGCTGAGAGCAGTGCGGGTGCAACACCGAGGGTTGTGATCCCATTACCAGTCAGTAAAAAAGACAAAAAAAGGAAAAAAAAACACCGAGGGTTGTGATCCCATTACCAGTCAGTAAAAAAGACAAAAAAAGGAAAAAAAAAAGAAGAAGAAGAAGAAGAAGAAGAAGAAAGAAAACAATAATATTAGAGTAAAAATTAATGAAATAGAGAATAGAAAAATAATAGATAAAATCAACAAAACCAAAGGTGATTCTTTGATACAATTGAATTAGTAATTTTTAAATTTCCCAAGAAGAAAAATCCAGGGATGTTGAATTTTGTCCAATGCTTTTTCTGCATCTATTGAGATAATCATACAGTTTTTGTCCTTGCTTTTGTTGACGTGTGTATCACAGTTCTTGACTTGCGTGTTTTGAACCATTCTTGTCTACCTAGGATGAATCCGAGTTGATCATGGCACATATTTTTTTTTGAAGTGTTGCTTTATTCTGATTGCTAGTATTTTTGTAGAGGATTTTGGTATCTATGTTCATCAGAGATATTTTCCCATAGTTTTCTGTTTTTGTTGCATCTTTGTCTGGTTTTGGTATCAAGGTGATGATGGCCTCATAGAATTAGTTCAGTAGAGCATCTTCTCTTTCAATTATTTGGAATAATTTGAAGAGAATTGGTATCGATTCTTCCTTAAAGGTTTGGTAGAATTCAGCAGTAAAGCCATCTGGTCCTGGGATTTTCTTTGTTGGGAGACTGCTGATTACTGCTTCAATTTCATTACTTGTTATTGGTCTGTTCAGTTTTCTATCTCCTCTTGGTTCAGTTTTGGTAGTTTGTATGTGACCACAAATTTATCCATTTCCTACAGATTTCAAATTGTTTTGTGTGTACTTGTTTGTAATAGCATCTAATGATTCTTTGTATTATTGGTTGTTATGTGTCCTTTTCCATTTCTTATTTTTGATATTTGGTGCTCTCTCTCTCTCTCTCTCTCTCTCTCTCTCTCTCTCTCTTTCTCTCCCCCCCTTTTTCTTTTTAGTCAACCTAGCTAATAGTTTGTCTGCTTTGTTTATCTTCCCCAAAAAACAACTTCTGTTTAATTGATATATTATATCATTTTTCAGTGTCTATATCATTTAGTTCTGCTCCGATCTTTGTAGGGGGTTAGAAATCTTGATTCTCATTTGATTTTTACAATAAGGTTTTTAGGTAAATACATTTATGGGGCAAAAGCCCTCAGGTAGGAGGTGACAGCCTACAGCCAGCGGGCAAAATCCCATCTAATCAACTCTAATCACTGTTTAGGTATGAGATTGTATACTTTAATGATTTTAGAGCTAACAGATGGTTGTCATACTGATTCTGTTAAGAGATTTTAAGAATTGCTGAAGGGAAAGATGTAAAAAACTGTTTGCTAGGGGCAAGCTGTCTGCTGATGGAAACTTTAGAGATAATTATACGTAGATTTCATCATAAGAATGCAACTTTTGCTAAAGGAGAGGTTATACTTTAGATAATGAGCCAGTTTGACCAACTTAGCTTTTCACTAATTGTACTTTGGAATGTCACATTGTTAATTTTATTGATGTTACTAGTTTCCATTGTTTAAGCTATACTTAGCCATAGATAACTTTTGTTCCACCTCTCATGTCCTTGTGCCCTTTTTAATGATTGAATCAACTGAATTTTCTTGTGAAACTTCCTTGACTTTACAATAAAAAACAGAAGCTAACTTTGAATCAGGGCTGCACCCAGTTTTCTCCTCCTAACAGAGGAGTTGCTGAGGTACAGTCTCTTCAGGCCTTCTCATCACAAAAAAAATCCTTTTTTTGTCTCTGTTACACAGTGAGAAGTGTAACAGATCTTAAATATCTCTTTCCATCAACTAACTTTGGCATTGAACTGTTTTTGTTTTTCTAGTTCTTTGCAGTGTAATGTTAGGTCATTTATTTGAAATCTTTCTATTTTTTCTGATGTAAATGTCAATTGTAATAAACTTTCCTCTTACTACTGCATTTACACTGTCCCATGGGTTTTGATATGATGTGTTTTTATTTTCCTTGGTTTCAAGAAGTTTTCTGATTTCCTGTTTAATTTCTTCTTTGACCCATAGGTCATTCAGGAGCCTATTGTTTAATTTGCATGTATTTATATAGTGTCCTGAGTTTTGTTTATTATTAATTTCTAGTTTTATTCCATTGTGGTCTGAAAAGTTACTTGAGATGATTTCAATTTTTGTAAAATTGTTGAGACTTGATTTGTGACCTGACATATAGTCTGTCCTGAGGAATGTTCCAGGTGTTGATGAAAATTAAGTATATTCTGTAGTTGTTGGATAAAATGTTCTGTAGATATCTTCCATGTCCAATTGGTGTAAAGTGTGGTTTAAACCCTGTTTCTTGTTGATTTTTTTGCCTAGATGATCTGTCCAATGTTGATAGGGGTGTTCAGGTTCCCAACTATTATTGTACTAGGGTCTATCTCTTTCTTTAGGTCTAATACTGTTTGCTTAAAATATCTGGGTGCTCCTGTGTTGGGTGCATATATATTTCTGATTGTTATATCTTCTTGCTGGATCAATCCCTTTATCCTTATATAGTGGCCTTCTTTGTCTCTTTTTGTGGTTTCTGGCTTAAAGCCTATTTTATCTGATACAATAATAGCTACTACTGCTAATTTTGTTTTCATTTCCATGGTGCATCTTTTTCCATCCATTCAACTATTTGTCTGTGTGTGGCTTTATGGGTGAAGTGAGTCTCTTGAAGATAGCATATAGTTGGGTCTAGCTTTTTAATCCAGTCAGGTCAGTCAGTCTGTGTATTTTGAGTGGGGAGTTTAATCTATTTACATTTAGGATTGTTATTGACTCCTGTCATTTTATGGCTTATTGTTTAGATGTTTTAAATATCTTTTTTCCTTACTTCCCTTTTTATATTTGTCTTCACTGTTTGCTGATTTTTTTGAAGTGGTAAGATTTAGTTTCTTTTTTCATTCTCATTTGTATTTATGCTTTACTAGTGGATTTTGTTCTTTCTTGTGTACTCATGGTAGTGATTATCAATTTTCAGATTCCAGATGC